AAGGCTTCAAATAACATCTGACACACAAGACTGGAAGTAATGACCTTTTGAGTAAATCTTAGTTTTTTATTTATGATTGACAGTCAACTTTATATTAACTACATTAAAGAGGGAAAAAAAAATAAAACAAAGTGATTGGAGATATTTACATTCAAAACACTGAATATCATTCACTTAAGTCAGAATGTTAAGAATGGTGCAGGCATGCCGTTTCTGTCTTCCTGTTGCTCTTTTTAGGCTGTTAAAAGCAAAATTTATAGTGATGGTCTCATAATTCTGTGTCTAACAAATGCTAATATGATTTCTAATTACCTTTCTAAGTTCCTGTAACACAATATAATGAAAACAGTTTAAATATTGCATAGCTTTCATATTAATACATACATGCAAACATGTATTTTTTCCTCAGCCAGTAAAGCCATGCACAAGCGGTCTAAATAGATTGTAAATGGTTGTAACATTTCGCAAAATTATTATCTTTATTCTACATGATTTGTGAGGTGTTGGCTGTGACAAATGAAAGAGGTATCAGTTACTGCTTTACTGTTCTTAAAGAGATGATCTTCTGCAGAATTGCTTTGTGTTAAAAGGCTAAGAACTACAGTTCTGATGAAAATTTTCTTTTATATGCTTGAACCCCCCTCAGAATTGTAGCTCTTTTTTTCTAATGTTTTATAGTGATTGTTTTGCTGCAACAAAACAGTTGCACTTTACTACACTACTGTTTAGAGAACTGTATGCCTTCCTTCAACTCTTCTACTATTTGATTAGATCTGACATGACTTAGAGGCAGCATTTACTTTCTGGTAACATTTAAGAAGACAGCTTACGATTTTGTAAGGGTTGGTGAAAAATCAATAATAGCTGATGTTCTTGTAACATGCCTGCATCGTGGAAGGTAAGTTGGGGGCAAAAGGTTATTTTCTTTGAATTAAGCAGAGAGCCTTGTAACATATACTGAAAGTGCTTCATCTCATGATGGACAACAGTTTTGAAATATAGCCTGTAGGTTCTGTAAACATATCTTTGTTTTTCTCTAACAATCTGAAATGACAATTGAAATCAGGATGGAGACACTGGATTATAATTTCTAAAATCATACCTGAAAATGCCACTTATCTGTCATGAAAAATGTATTCTAGAGCTGCCTCTTTTTTTTCATGTCTTATTATTCCAAAAGTTGTATCCTAGTAGTGAAAGAACACAAAGTTTAACTGTACAGAAAATAGAGGTTGTACTCAGATTGGAATTGAAACAAGACAAGAATTTCTATTAAAAAAACAGTCAAACATAAAGTATTCCTTTGTAAATCTTTTCTTAATATGATTTTGGAATATGTGGAAAAACTGTTTATATTTATCAGAAAGAAACCAAAGAAGAATAAGGATCCAGGTAATGAACTTTTACATAGCCTTGAATTTGTCTTTTTTAAAATATATGAGTGAGTGAAATGAGCAAAAAAAAAAAAAAATCTCTTATTCAGTGCTTAATTACCAAAACAATGGTACTGTCTGGAAACTAATGCTGTTTAATCTTTTCAGATATTTGATGTTTTAAAATACATAGCATACATAAAAAACTTAGTAAATAAAGCTATTAAATCATATTTTTAATACAATAAATGCAGATAAGTTGCCATGAGCTTAATTTATACAAATAATTTGAAAACACAGAATGGAAGAATTTTCTAGATAAAATAACTGTCCCAAAAGTGTGAACTGCCTTTTTAAGACTGTCAGTCTTGCCAACATTTCTCATTTAGTGAGTTTTCAGATCCAGGTTAAATTCTCAGACAAAATGTGTTGGCAAGTTTCTTGAGATCTCATTTTCAGGATATTTCAGAATGTTGGCATCAAGTGCATGTATCTTCTCACCTCTTGGCTGTTGATTGTAATGCTATTCCTACTGATATTACCTAAAAATTTATACCCTTTGGTACGTGTTTGTAGATCTTTGCAAAACATTTTGGTGGATTGATGGATCTTGAAAAGAATTGTGTTTTAGCACTCGTTAAATGTATTAGCAAAAAAAGACGTGGAGTACAATCTTGAAAGTGTTACTTGCTAATGCATCATTTTTAAATTGAGAAGGATTTTGCTCTGCGGAATGTTTCAGTTAGGTCTTTGATTCCAGAGATTAGAGACATATAATGGCTCGAGGAGGAGTAGCACTGAGAGTTGCAGCATTTACTTCTTAATGGATTCCCCGCGAAATTCCTGAGTTATGTGCTAGGTTCTCTACATAGTCAAAATGCCAAGATCTGCAAGCCTTAGCAATTTAGCCTGTAAGCCATGAGGGAATATTAAATGAAAACTTGCCCTTTTGAAAGATTTCGGGGCTAATTTCAGATTCATAATCATAATTGCAATTCTGATGTTAAACAACAGCACTTTCTTAAAAAAAGAGAAAGTCTAAGAGAATTGAATATTTTCCTTCAAAGTACAGCTGGTTAAGAAGGAGGTACAGTTTCCTACTTTGTACACAATGCTAGGTAAAGATACATTGCATGAAGATCTGACATATTACATCTCAGACCATTTGATCAGAAATTTTAGCCACCTCATTCACACAATGAAAGCCGTAAGTTCTGTCTTGGATATCAACCCAGTGCACCGGAACATTTTTAAAAGGAATTGCTAAAGAGTGTTCATTGCAGAAGTCACTCCATGTAGCCAGCCAGGAATGATGAGTTCTGTCTTGAATTTTGGCCTCTGAAGGACTTGTGCTTGGCTCTGCACCAGAGAGAAATACATTCCTCTCCTTCGGATTCACATCTTAAACTTTTCTTAGTTGTAGGCGCCTAAACCTTTTCTGTTGTAAGTTGACTAGGTGTCATGGCTTTATTTCAAACTCAACAAGAGAAAAGAACATTTGAAAGGAAGAGCATCACAGCCAGAGTATGATTACCCTTTCCTTCCCACCTTCCTATTCCCTTATTCATACAGAGGATTAGAGAAGAGGACATTTGTGCAGTATTTGGGGGATTCAGGTTCAGTTCTCATGACTGAGAGAACTCATGTTTGCACTTTTTTGCACTAAGCAGAATTTTACATAAATATGTTGAAGTTGTCAAACAGGAACTACCACTGAAGCCATTCCTCTGCCACTGTGTACTGTAATCCCTAATTTACAGAACAGCCTGCACTCTCTCTCTTTCACTTTCTCCCACTCTGCCTCTGTTATCTGCTCTGGTGCAGTGGAACAGGATCAGTAGGTGGAACCTACAGGTGATTTTACCTTGAAATGGTCTAACACCTATAGGTTACAGCCCTTTTCTGAGACATTGAAACATAAATTTCCTCTGGCAGAATACACTGTTGAATTGATGCTCTCAAATATGTGTCTCATTCAGCTCTAATACTCCAGCTGATGAATGACCGCACAGAAGACAGTTGTAATGCCTGCCATGTGTCCTTCTTTAACTGTTGTCACTTTTTTGAGGAAATTGATTTGTTAGGTCCTTTCAGAGCACCTACTGAACTTATGACCTTATGCATGGAGAACTTGAGTGTGAATTAGTATGGGATGCAGGACTAAGTCAAGCACCAGTGTATTTAGCAGAAGTTCTACTGGCTATGGGCAAATAACTAGCCTGTAAAATTTAATGTAGAAAACTGAGTGCCTTACTGCTCAAAGTGCCTCCAGCCCTGGAGGTTGGAAGCTGAATGCAGTTTTTCATAAATGCAGTTTCAATTTAGGCTCCCAAAGAACTAGGTAGGGTGAGGTGCTTAAATATTTTCTGGATCTAGTCTCCAAACTCAAGGTTTGTACGAATAATGGAGATGTAACAGTTTACAAATAAAGCAGAGTTCTTGATTTGGGAGGTAAATTAGGCGATTATATACTGACTGATAATCTACCACTAATCATACAAAATCAGACAATGATCAAGAGATATTTACAGTAATTCTAGGTGCTCTGTGTTTTTTACTTTTTTTTTCATTATCCAGATCATCTCCCTGGACTGGAGATAGTTATTAAGAAAGCAAATGCAAAGGGCTAGATTATACCTCGAATTTGCTTTGGGTGAGAGCAGTTGTCAGAGGCCAGTTATAACATCTCAGGCTCTGGGATGTGTTATTTAGTTAATATATTTCTCCATTAGCTGGAAAACCTTTAAGTTAAAGTACATGATAAAAATGGTTAATTCACAGGCCTCAAAACGGAGACTCCTCTTCCAAACTTCCATATTACATCCATACCCCAGTTCTCACACTGAGGAGAGTCTCATGGCTCAGGACACTATTAGCAGCTGAGAATTCAGTCAGACTGAGGGAATAAGGGACATTTTACTTTACTTTTCAAATTTCTTGCATTTTAAATTAAAAATGGGTTTTGAGAATCCAGCTTTTGATGAAAACATGTTAATAAACTGTTTTTCTGGTAATATCCTCTTTATAAAGATTGTTGAAAGTGAATATTTTTTACAAATATGTGTTCCACAAATGATAATCAGTAGTGGAAGAAGTGATTAGATACAGAAGATATTAAAAATAATGGAGTAGATATTTGTTTTCACTAATGAGTCTGCATTTTAACAGTATTTCAGCAGTAGTTTAGGTAAACTTCCTACACTAAGGGTTGTTGTTTTGTTGAGGAATAGAAATTTAGAAATTAAATGTGTTACTTTGAAATATGGGCAAGGAGATTTTACTGACTATCTAACATACATATTACATACGGATGCTATCCCTTAAGGCTAAACTATGTTAACAGAACATCTGAAGTATTTTTATGTAGCATATGCATCCATAGTCAGTAGCTGCCAGATGAATAATTGTAGAGACAAGGCGATTTTTTCACTGAGTCATCACAGCTTGGTAAGTCATTTTAATTATTATGTGATGCATATTTAAAAGACAGCAATTTGTTATGAGCTCCAGGCTGAGATAGAGCAGACTTACAGGACTGACAAGGCTGTGCCAACAGAGTCAATCTGCTTCTAGACATTACAGATAGAAGTGTCTCACAGATGGTTTTTTTTATTTCTTCCTCTGTAGAGGTCCTTCTGTAGTGCCATGGTAGAGGAGCTAAGGATGTCTCTGAAGTGTCAGCGTCGATTAAAACACAAGCCACAGGCCCCCGTTATTGTGAAAACAGAAGAAGTTATCAACATGCACACATTTAATGACAGAAGGTTGCCGGGTAAAGAAACCATGGCATAGAGCTGGGAAGCCAAATAGCCCAAGCACAAACTGTCGTCTTTTTTTCCAAACAACCTTGCAAGAATGTTTCCTGTGGAAATATGCAACCTGTGCAAAATAAAATGAGTTACCTCATGCCGCTGTGTCTATGAACTAGAGACTCTGTGATCTCAGCAGTTGCAATGGCCAGACTCGAATCACAAGCATCATGGATCAACCAAGTTACGTGGGGTTACACTGTACGTCATGGGTTTCCACCATTCTGAATGAATGAATGTTCCATGTGAGTTTTGTGGCTGGTTTCAAATGCAGTCTCAGTGAGAAATTACAGGTTCCTTTTGAAGTTCAACGGTTGCCAGGAGGTGGAGAATAAATGTCCAAGATGATACTAACCATGGAAGGAGTCTAGTAAAAGTATTATCTCAGAACTGTAGTGGGACGAGAAACCGTATGTTCTTCTGAACTTCCAAGCACAGAAGAATTGGTAACTGCTGGTAGACTGAAACTACCATCTGGAAAGGCGGTACGAGCTTCCTGGATGGCAGAAATGTTAAAGTGAAGAAACATGAATCCCATGAATAGTAGGATAAATATGAGGATGCTCACCTGCTTTTTGGATTGTCTGTGTCACTGAACTAAGTAAATAAATAATAATTAAAAAAAAAAAAACACAAAAAAAACCAACAAAAACTTAATTTTACCTGGGCTGGAACATTGATTTAAAAAAAAAAAAAACCAAAAAAAAATATCCATAATTTTGGCCCAGTTTTTAGATGAATGAAAGTTTCCTTAGTACAAAGGAATGTATCTTACAGCCTTTAGATGTAAGCAATTACTTTTTTTTCTTGAATTGTGACAAGAGGGAGGGGGGTGGGAAGCAGTGTATCTCACACATAGAGGGCTTGCATTTTAGCCTGAAAGGGTTTTGAAACCCTTATTCCTGCTACTAATTGAACTCAATGGAGCCTGTGCAATTCTCGCTAATATTGGAAGTGGGACGGGTCACCTAAAAGAAGTGGATGTGGAGAACCTTAAGGAGGACTGCATTTTTCAATACAGTCACAGTACTAAATGAAAAAAATTCTTGAGCAGTTTTTTTTTTTTCAAAAAAAAAAAATGTTCAGGTTTATTTGTGGAAATGCAAGATTTCTATGAAAATAGTTTTTGTATGGAAATTTTTGTAATACTTTTTATCAACAAAATAAGAACATGTGTTTCTGTCAGGGGTGTGATGCCAAGCATGAATGGTAGTGCGTGTGCACCACCAACGTTTGGTGAAAACTATTTTTATCAAGAATAAGGAATCTTAGAAGAGACATATTTTCAAGTTAGATAATATAAAAAAAAAGGTGCACTACCACCACTGCTTACCATGCTACACCCCTGGTTTCCACTAGGCTGATAACATGCTGTCATGAACAATTGTGTGTAAATGGTAAAAGTCACAGACCTCTTGACCACATTGTGATAACAGTTAAAGTGCACTCAGTTTGCTGTTTGAATCGAATGCACAAAATTAAAAAAAAAAAAAGCATTGAAATTATGTCAGTTTTAGTTGTTTTATTTTTGCTGTGTGATTTGAGCAACGTATGTACAGTACTTTGTGTCAGTACTGGTACTTAACTTCAACTTAGTGCCCTATCCTGCTGATTCTTGCCACTAAACACATGACTGGAGAATTTGCTGGGATTTCTGAGAAAAGCCAGTGCAGCACATTGTGATAAGTTTTTGCAGGATTTGGCTCTTAGCAGCAAAGCTAATTTATACGTCCTTCCTGTGGTGAGTTCCTGAACATAACATTTTGAAATACTGCCCTACAGATGCTCAATCTTGCACCTCCATCTACTGTAAATTTATTTGTATCTCAACAAAAACTATACAGGATGGGCTATGTAGGAATGTTATGTCACCAAAAACGGTTAGGACGATGGTCTTTATATAATAAATCATTTGACTAATTTAAAAAAACAAACGTAAAATTATCATAGATAATCAGTCATTGGTGAGTAATGAGATCACTTGTTTACTGCGGCTTAATTTGAACTTATCATCATCTTTCTAGCGCAGGAGTATAAAATATATCATACAAGTTGTAGAAATTATATCATGAAATTTGGGGGAAAGGAAAAGTTTGTGTCTACTACCCAGTTCTCATAAAACTTCATAGAGACTGAGCTGGCCATTTCGATTGTGAATAGGGACAGAGAAAGCAAATTCTCTGATATTTGTGAGATCTTCATACCAATTTATGTGATAAAAAAGAACATATTATCTTTGTCTGAAGTAGAAAGATTAAAACACCTTCAACAAAGATTCTGAAAATGAGTATACTTATGTAATACGTATTTAAGATAAGTCGTTAAAATACAAAAGGAAAGAAAGTAACTGTCACACAACACAATGAAAACTAATTATGATGGTTTGGAATGGAAAATATAATTGGCTATTGCATTTGATTGATGATTTACAATAAGTTTTATAAAATCATGTAATAAAATACTGTATTATATTCAAAGAAAACTTTCTTTTTTCCATTAAGGTTGCTGAAGTAAGCAGGAGTGCCATTCTCACCCTGATTCACGTGACTAATTCTCATTAAGCTTTACGTGAGCCAAAGTAAGTGTGATTGCAGAATATGTCCCAAATATTTTATTGGGTCAAAATCCCCCAAGGAACAAGAATCCTAATGCAGAGGTAGTGTGGCTTAATTAAGACTTCAGTGAGAATTTTAGCCTTCCATTATTAAGGGAAATATGAAAAGGAACTGGAGATTTGTATTTAAGATCAAGACTAGAAATTTCTGGCTCCATAGATTCAAAGTAGGGTAATGGCTTTAAAAAAAAAATATAAATTAGTTTATACTGTTACTTTGTTATGCATTAGTAATTATTTCTGTACTTAAAATTAAGACGTTTAAGGAAAAATGACTAACAAAGAGTTGACTCCCAGTAGAAAATGTTACTGGTAGTTACATGCTCCAAAAAGGTCAATGGTTCATTTTCCCTTCACTATTATGAAGGAAATCCTCAATTCTGAAGAAAACTTCCTCATTTTGAAAGGCCTCTGAATTGTTTAGTCGCAAATGCTCATGTAGTATAAATTTCTGTAGTGTCATTAAGTCAATGGAACTACACCAGCTAAAATCAAGTGAGCATCTGGCCCATGAAGATTCAGAATCTGTATATAACTGCATCATGTGGTTTTCAAAGCATAGCTCAATTAATGTGTTTATTTCCCAGGACAGGATGATGGATGCTTCTTTGACTGACCTTGAAAGTCACTCTAGAGAAGACTTTAAAAGCAGTTCTAAGTCAGTTATATGGCACTACCCAGTGGATGAAAATGGGAGGTAGAAAGGTAGAATCAGAATGGAACTTTTTTTTTTTTTTTTTTTTTACTGTATCTGTTTCAAAGATAGAAGTCTATAATCTTTAAGGATTCTCAAGGTCTCAATTTGGATCTTCAGGTTGCCTCAGCATGGCCATATAGCGATAGATAACTACATGGATATTGCAGAATAAATAACAAAACCCTTCAGCTTTTTGAGAAATGTCATTTGAGAAGGACTGGTAGTGAAAATTATGAACCAAATAGTTGGATGAAATCAAGAGATATATGGTGCTTCATAGTAAATGAGAATTTGGCCTATTATAGACATCAGCAGGCCATTTAATAGTGCTCTCCTATTACATAAACACAAATGCAAACATATCCAAGGAATATCTGGCAGTTTTTGTGTGAGATATTACTGTCTGAAGTTTCTATCTCAATTTTCAATTGAAGAATTCAGTATAGGCTTGAAAGAATCTGTTCTTTCATGTTTGTATTACTTGAGGTTCTGTGCAATAAACCTTCCTGGTTTCATCCATAGAGTCTTCCAAAAAAAACGAAATAACACTGTTTAGCCCTACTACACTAACTAGTTAATATTTCAGAATGGAAAATACCTAATTTATGAAGAAAAAACCCCCATCAAAATCCAAAGCAGCAAAGAGAAGTAGGAGAAATGCCCTGATATTCTAAAACCCAAAATGTTTTCAGGGAAAAGAGGTCATGAGCAGAGATAACAGCATACAAAGAGGTAAAAGATAAAGCTATAAAATAATTTATTATTATTATTGTTATATTAAGAATATTATAAAAATATTGGAAATACTTTAGACATAACTTTTCTTAGTCTCCAGATACACTAGTGTCTACAAATACATCAACAATCACAAAATATGATGTTTGAAATGCTGACTACTTTGAAAGCAGTGTCAAATATTGTACTTCAGAGGAATCAAGATTTTGTCCAATAATCCCCAAATGTGTACTGATACAATATTAAAGGCAAAATAAGATACCAGCCTGAGTTTAAGTGTACAGGAGCAACCGTGCTTTTTGTCACATCTTCAAAAATACGTAGGAGAAGAAAGGGCCACTAAGGTTGACTCATCTGACACCCAAGATTATTACTTTCCAACCTCAAATATGTTAGTGTCCTGTTCCCTTCTAGTCTTACCTCTTTGCCTTCCTACAAGCACCTCTGATACTTCTGGCTTTCCTATAAAATGTAGCTCCAATTAAAAATAAAGTTACTCAAGCACCTCATCTCCCCAGTTTGTATCCACCAAGACAAACACAGTAGCTTTTCATATGACTGTAATCTAATTGTCCTTCTCTTCATTTACTACCCCTCTCTGTCCCCTGCCTGTGTTATCTCCTCCTGTTGTTCTTGTACTTGCCTAGACTGTAAGCTCTTAGGGGGCAGGGAATCTGTCTTTGATTTGTTCTATGTAGCACCATGAACTATGGAGCTATATAAATAATAAAAAAAATAGATCTTCTTAAATGATGTTTGAAGTGACAGTGATCTGATTGAGTACCAGTCTAGTAATATATTGGTTTAGTTCATTGCCTGAAATCCTAATGACTACAGCAATAGAATAATAATAATAATAAAAAAAATAACAAAACCAAACCAAAGTAGCTATGACACAATCTCATCTTACTAGAAATTTCCCTACGTGGTTGGGGTATAGGAATATAGAACATTATGCTCACATAACTTCTATAAAGGTTTTAGTATGAAATCAGCTACTTCAAAAATGAAAAATGTAGGTTAATACACAAAAAGAAGAGATATATGCAAGACGGTCTTTGTGAAAGAGAACTTTTAATTGATTTAAGCTTGGAAAAGCTAAGATTAAATAGTTTTTTGAGTTGAACACTAGGCATTTACCCTTCCTTCATTGTATCTGCCCACTTAGATTGACAAGCCTCTCATTGTCAAAATCTATACCAATCCTGTTTTATTATTTTTGGACATCATTAGAAATTTTCTATGAAAGATAATTTAATTAAAATTAAAGAAATTCTTCCTCTTGTTTCTATCCAATAACACTAGCTTTCTATGAC